CAAGTCCTCTGCCAAGGAGGATGCTGTACCACCGCGCGACCAGCTTGGTGCATCACGGTATTCCCAACATTTGCCTTTCCAAGTCTTCTGCTGCGAAGCTGGAACACATGTCGTAGACCCGTCTCAGTCTTACTACAAAGGCCTCGGGTATAGAGCCGGAACAGATTTCCACAACCTCAGCAAAGCAGAAGGAATGCCAGTTCGGTCTCCAGATGCCCCTTGCCTGGACAGTTCCCAGCTCTGGTTCTGCCGTGACTTGTGGATTCGCTCCGCACGAGACGCAATGGAAGAGGTTGACCTGGCTCACAACCAAGCACATGTCAGGCGTCGCGATGTCATTGAAGTTGCTGCATATGATCCTTTGATGGAGAATGTAGGAGTGGAAAAAAGGCAGGGTGCACCGGAAGTGGATCCCGATGCTAATGCAGGTTCAGACTACGACGCGATACCTGACGAAGAGGGTGGAGAGGAAGTCCCTGCTCCTGTCGAAGCGCCAAGACTGTCGATACCCAACTCGGATTTCCCACCAGCGAGAATACTGATAAATCCACGATGTGTAACAACGTATGCTGGCGTCAGCCACACTCAACTCGCTCAGGATCTATTTGGTAATGGAGACGATAGCAGGCAAGGAGGGAAGGAATACGTATTGGACGATTGGGAAGGTGCACCTGATAGTTTTGTTTGCCAAGAGCAGAGGCAAACGGGAGGTCGAAAAGCAACCAAAACACAAAGACGACTTGGGTTCTCAATCCACGATGAGCTCAGACGTTTTGCGTGAACGATACCTATGTAGCAGAGCTCGATACCTAGACAATCTACTTTATTTAAATAATAATCCATGAGGGTCGCGTGAGTCAGAAGAGAAGTCTTCCAAATTTGGCCGACGCGTTCTGAGTCACATGGCATCGAGGTTATAAAAAGTTTCTTAAATTCAACTCATCGCATTCCCTCCGAGTCAACGATGGCGTCTCGCACTGTTCCTCATCTTATGACCCTCGCCGACCTCAGCGTCCCCCAGATTCACCGTATTTTGAATCGTTCTCACCAGCTCAAGCAACAATCGTTACCATGGCTTGAACCTCAAGGTTCCCTTCCCGCAAAAAAACAGTCCAAATTACGACTTCCTTCCCAGTCCTTGTTCAATAAAACTGTTGCTCTGCTATTTTCAAAAAGGAGCACTAGGACCAGGCTTGCTGCCGAAACTGGAGCTGCTCTGCTTGGTGGACGAGCTCTCTTCCTCGGTAAAGAGGATATCCAGCTAGGCGTGAACGAGAGTGCCCGGGATTCTGCTCGTGTGATTGGTGGCATGTGCCAAGGTATCTTTGCTCGCGTTGGAGAGCACCAAGAAATCGAGGTATTGAACAAGACGTGATCCTTACCTCGTAACGGAACTAAATCTTGGCTCTCCACAGGAACTCGCCAAGTACTCTCCAGTTCCCGTGCTTAACGCCCTTTCTTCCCTCTGGCATCCAACTCAGATCCTCGCTGACCTGTTGACCTTACACGAGAATCATCATCTCTTCGCAGTGGATGAAAATGCCGAGATTCCTCCTGAGTCTACATCAGCAGTCGGCGGATTGCCTATAGGCCCCCTTCCTCCTTTGCGACCCTTGACTGTCGCATACGTAGGCGATTCAGCCAACGTATTACACGACATGCTGGTCACCTATCCACGATTGGGGCATACCCTGCGCATCGCAAGTCCAGCACAATACCGTGCGCCCCCCGAGGTCTGGGACCGTGTTGTGGAACTCGGTTGTGACAAGGGCATATGGTGGGGCTCTGATCCCAAAGAAGCAGTCCATAACGCAGACGTTGTAGTCACAGACACCTGGTATGTCCCATGCTAATTTTTTTCTCTCGTGTTAGCGCTGAGCTTCGGCAGGATCTCAATGGGTCAGGAGGCCGAAAAAGCTGAGCGACTCAAGGCATTCGAAGGCTATCAGGTAACGGAAGAACTCTGCAAGCAAGGAGGTGCCAACCCGAACTGGAAGTTCTTGCACTGCTTGCCCCGCAAACCCCATGAGGTCGATGACGAAGTCTTCTATGGTCCTAGGTCCCTAGTTTTCTATGAAGCAGACAATCGCAAATGGACCATCATGGCTGCGTTTGAGTACGTCGCTCGCACTTTCTATCTCTTTATCATGAGCTGAGCATCTTTTTAGCATGCTGTTTGGCAAGTGGGACATTTCGGAAGAAGGCTTGTCCTCCGAAAAAAAGAAGAAAGAATAAGAAACTTGTCATGTCTTTATCTATCTTCCATCTGACAATAGATATCTATGACTAGATCATTCAATGTTATCCCTCATGATCAATGAGGTTCTATCGTCGCCTAGACCTTCTATCACCATGGGTCACAAAGTTTTGACCCCCCACTGTGCTCCGCCTAGAAGGTTGCTCTCAAGAGTCGAAGTGAAAGGGTTTAGTTCTACTCGTTATGGCTACATAACATTCTCTTCTTGGAAGTATGATGAAAACCTCTTACACCAGAATCAGATACCCACTCGAACTCTTATGATATAAAAAAAGAGGTCCCATTGACTCCTACGCTAACTAATCGTCATATCATCCCATTGTGCGTTGTTTTAATAATGTTCGAATTGACTTTTTCTGACGTCGATCTCATTTTCAGATAAACATAAGTGGCGTCACCAACCATTTCCATGTAGATGGGATTCACGCTGTTGAAAATCCTCGTTGTCCCTTTGACAATTTACGCCTGTCAGCAGCGCCTCTCCTATGGACACGATTAGCCGGTCGCCAAGAAATCTGTAACACCTCCTGCATTCCCGTGTTCCTGCCAGGGTCCAGCCACCACATGGTTAGGGAACAGTGCTGGACCTCCTGCCTCGACAATGAATGATCTGCCGTTGTAGTCCCATGCATAGCCTTTCTCATTGTCGTGCATTGACGGCAGATATTGTGACCTCCGATTTCCAAGACGTTGAATTTCATACAGAAACATGGACGGGTTCAACATTGAGCTCAGTCCAGGATGTCATAAGCCATTATGTGTCGAACCCAGAAGCTGTTCAAACCTATCCCCCTCGTAAACGACATCATGACCATATTCATCCCTCTCTTTCTCCTCCTCCAATTCGTCCCTCAATTTTTTCTCCGTCATATCTGCCATCGCAAATCCCACATTCCTGAGTTCTCTCAAAGCACGAGCAGTCCAAACCTGACAATCGAAAGCTTGCGTGCCTCTGATAACCTCGACCGTCTCCAGCACCTGCGTCAGATAATCCAATTGATTATCTGGGACATGACCCACGAGGCATCCGCCACATAAGGTCTTCAAGCTCCTCCACCTGGTTATCGGCTCATGGACATAGGTAAAAGAATCATAATTTCCACGAAGCTCGTGGAGTATACAGTCATCACCGTTTATCACGACCACGAAACTCCAATGTTCGCTCCTTGTGGGGTGTCCCAATATTCGACGTTGAATAACGAGCAAGGGGAGGTGCTTCATGACTCGGATCGCGTCAGAGATACAACAACTGCTTGAAGCTTAAATAAGTTGTTGGATCCCTTTCGAAGGTATTTGAAGAACTTGACCTCAGTTGCGAAGTCGAAATGGTATGAGAACAGGTAAGTAAAATGGGAAGTTTTGGGAGAATTTTAGATACCTCATGCCTAGATAAGGTACCTCCGCTGTCATGATTGTCAAAGAGATCCTTTTGTATAACTTAAAGTGCTTAGGGTAAGTACAACGTGTAGTGTCAGCTGGTTAATATGTCGCAGAAGAAATCCGAGTCAAAACTTTCACATTGCGGATATGATTGGATAGGGAGCAGTCATTGGAGAGCAAGTTGCGAAGTCGGAGTGCGTTTTGGCGCTCAAGGTTGTGAAGTTATCCCAAGTATGAGAGGGAGCTAGACTCGGAGTCGCTCCTGAGATTGAGTATCCGAGGCCAGGGTCAATATCCTTGATTCTATTGGCTGGGCAACAGGTGACTGATAATTAATACGTTTCCATGGCCGCGAGGTCTATTCCAAGTTTGTTAATTGTAACATAAGTATACTAGATTTGTGTAGGTGATACATCGACAATTGCGATGGGTGCTGTTAGTGTACGGTAAGTAGTGGAGGAAAGGTAAAGTATGATAGTCGTTAGTAAAATATTGACACTTCGTCAAGGGATATCGTGCTGAGGCTGGAAAGATTGTCGAGGTCCAAGGAAGAGAAAAGTCACGGCTTCAGAATGTCAATAGCGGTTTAGACAGTCGAAGCACGCAATCCAGGCACTGTTCATCCAACCAAGAAAGTAATCATGGTCAGGATTTCGACAATCCAACAAAGCCAAGAATGTAAACCGTACCTCTCTTTAAAATTGAACTCTTCACAACATCCTCTGCATATCGTTCTCCCGCATCCTGGAAGTATATCAAGCTCTGTCATGGGCTCATTCGACGCGTCGTCAGTCGATGTTAAAGAATCATCAACCGACGCAGGGTGGCTGCGTCTTTTTTCGCCGCGGTTGGCGCGTTGAATTGTAGTAGAATTGATGTTATTATTCTGGGAATGAAGTGGTTGACGTGGGGAGTGAAGACTCTGAGGAAAATTGGTCATTGTTGCGTCAACGTTTGGAGGTGCGCTAGTAGGCGTAGGTGAACGCGTCAGAAAAGGTGTGGGTGGCATTGAAGATGGGCATGCATTGCATGTACGAGAGCAGATTGTGCAAGTTGGTGAAGAACATCTGTGTACGGTGTAAGAAGCACGAAAAAAAAAGATATGAAATGGAGCAGACCTGGCACATATTGCTAGAAGACCGTGTAGAGAGTTGAGTGAACGGTGGCATGAAACACAAGTACCATTAGGTATGGAAGTGGTTGTTAGTACAGATTGTTTGGTGTTCATCGTAGAGGACGATGAGGACGAAGCAAGTTTTCTACGCTTGAGAGGACGTGGAACGGTCATTGTGGTATGAGAGTAACTTTGAATATGCATGGTGGCCTCCTCATGGTGACGAAAAAGACAAAGGGAAGAGAAAAATACACCGAACGGGAATCGAACCCGTGCCGCTTGCTGATGACTATGCATGGAAGGCAAGCATGATAACCACTTCACCATCGGTGTCTTATCAATTATGTTCATCTTCCCTTTATTATCTCTTTGTTCGCTTTCACAGTCCAAACCTACTACAATCTTACTTCCTCTACCTTTCCCTTTCCAAGTCTCCCCCTCTCATACCTAACCCTCAACCATAGCTTTCCCTCCTCCTCCTCCTCGTTCCCTCCCCTTTTCTTCCTCGCGTCAACAAGAACCCCTTTGGCAACCCCAAGTACCTCCTGGAACTTTTTTCTCTCCTCCACCCAATCGATGTTATTCGCCGAAAAGAAGAGACCCGGTTTGGTGGGTTCTGGGAGGCTCTCGGAAGGATCTTTTTCTGGAGAAGCGTGAAGCTCAATTCGCCGCAGGTGGATGAGGGGGGTGAGCAGTGCGAGGGATTCCTGTTCCGTGTAAAAGTACATGTCAGTGGTGATGATATGAATGAGCGTTTGAAAGTTTACGGACAGCATCAGTGCTAAGTCGGATTTCTTCAAGCTCTGGGACGAACTTGACGATACCTGCAGACAGTCGTTAGCGGTTTATTTTATAATTGATAGAAAAAAAAATGAAAGCTGAAGAATCTGTAACTCACGTTTCATCATATTCAAATCGACCCTAAACCCACTCAATACTCTCACGCCATCTACGTTCTCATCCATGTCCTTATCTTTTGCTTTCGCCTTCCCCTTTCCTTTTCCTTTTGTTTTCGCCTTCTCCCCTCTCTCCTTCATCAAGGCACCGATAGCCCCAATCAACTTTCCCCCGTCATCGTAGTTACACATGACCTCGCGAACGCCTGGGCACGAGCGGAGGACGTTGTGTGCATGGTCAGGGAGCACGACAGTGCGAACCTGTATAGGTACACCAAGGGTCAACATTGCTCACTGAGTTGTAGAGGATAGATGTGTAGAGATATTCACCTGTGGAAGGACATGCCCTTCGAACGCAAGCTTAAGATGTGTCGTCATCTGTGTGTGAGCGCGGACAACTTGCAGGGTGTGCAGGTTTGGCAGAGACTCGAGGCATTGTACAAAGGCAGATAGAACTGCTTTATGATCGCAACGAGTCAATGCTACGCTCACAGTCCTACAGGACGATATATCCCATATCAGTATCGCGGTACATATCAAAAATGAACATGCAAACACGTACGTTACAAATTTCGCAATATCAGGAGTTTGTCTGAGTCCGTGTGATTTTCGTTCAAGTGCTTGTGAAATAGTTTTGTACCAAGCACCGGAAACACTCTCTCCGTTTTCTTCTTCCTCTTCTTCTGTATGACCTGTAACGTTGACTTGAAGCGAAACTCACTCAGTTCAAGTACTTCGTCAATGAAAGATGAACCTACTCATCCTCTTCAACTTCCTACCTTCACCACCGTCCTTCTTCTCCTTCTCCACAATCTTCATCGCACAAACCTCAAACCTCTCCCAACACTGCCCCAAAAACCTTTCTCGAAAGCCTTGGCACGTCTGCGACAACGCTCTCAATGCCTGTCCGCGTTGCAAAGTTGCAGGCGGGAGCAAAGGACTGTCATTCAGCCGCAGAGTTGGAATTCGAAGAGACGAAAAGTATGACAATATTTCGAGCCAAATTTCGCTGGGGAGGTTGAACACGAGGCCCTTATTAGCATCAGGTGAGATTGTGGCTCTAGCCTTGGGCACCAGGTCCCCTGAAGGAGGATTGGGATCCTCGTCAGTAGCTTTTGACTTGCGGGCGCGTTTCTTGGAGGAAGAACCGCCCGCTGAGGAATTTCTGCGTTTTCGGGGTGGCATACTGAGATAAGTTTCCGTAGCAACGTCGAGCTACTTATTTATTTAAGGATTTGATCAGATCGCTATCGGCATGAGTCAATGGCGGAGACGAGACTGGAGAGCGTGTGTTCTTGATCATGATGTGCAAACACGCCTCATT